AGAGACAAATGATAAATTATTGCTATAATTAACTGGACATTTGCCGAATATTCTAGGTGTTGCTGAGGGACCATCAGTTATTCCAACGACAGGTAAACCTAGTACCTCTATGTYAACGTTACCAACTACCATTATCAACAAGTATTCAGGTAAAGAACGTGTCACATTGTCTTGTGAAGAAATAGAAAACGCGCGCGCGTGCTGWGTGCAGTTATAAAGCACGCGGGGGTTGGCAGAACACAAGAGAAGTGTTAGGAGAAGCACGACGCGTAGCGGAGTGCTTCTTGACACTTTTCGAGTAATCTGCCAATCCCCRAGTAACAGCAAGCACAGCAAGCAAGTTTTTTATTTCTTTTATAAAATACAAATTACACGAATGATGAAACTGAAAGTGCGCGCGCGTGCAGTGTGCTCTCATAAGGCACGCGCTYCCAACCAATCAGAACGCGAGATTTAGAGCAGTTATTTTATGATAGTGACTGTCCTTACCCTGTGAGCACGATTATTGTTATTCCCCTCTGCATACGGCTGAGYGGCAGGCTGGTCCCCCGACCTAAAGCACAGAACGGAAGACCACTGCTAGTAGGGCACTGTCGCTAAGTACAAAGTGGCCTTGAAATTATCTCTTTTTCTCTGTCTGTTTTGTGACGATTTATCTTTTTTCTCTCTTTTGATTGTAGATTGTCCTCCATGTATTCTATCGGTCAACAGCAGTATAGGAGCTATGTATTGCACAAGTGAATATGGTAAGATATCATATTAATATTGGTACGAATATGCATRGTTTTAAATGCTAGTCGTGCAATAATTAGATAATCAAGGGTGATAATCAATTTCACTTAGGGGGTCCTGGGTTCAATTCCYGTACTCGGCACTCGTTATGTCTCTCCCTTGATTCAAGGGGTTTTCACCGGGTACCATTTTAGAGAAGAAATACGCTACTCATACTAATTCTACTCATATTTTTACTGTTAGCCATCCGTGCTCGAATCACTAAATACCGCAAGGCAACCAACCGCACAATGTTCTACGCTCATCTCATTACGACCTACAAAACCACGAGTAAACTGCCTATCGAAGTCTTAATCAGAGTACCGGGTGAGAAATGCCCTTGTCCTCGGCTAGTGCCTGGCGTGGAATACCTAATGATTGGCAAGACCAAGCTAACTCTGAATGGTAAAAGGAGGTTGACTTTGAGCGTGGAGAGTTTTTATGCCAAATGGCGGGATGAGTTTGAGAAGGAGATTGATACCACGAAAACAAGATGTGGGCTTCCTTTGGTGACTTCCCAACCTGATGGTAAGGCCAAAGCAACTCATTTTACAAAGATTAATCTTTTTTAATTTTAATCTGTATAAAAGTCTTATTAAAAAATAGTTGGCGGTGAATAGCCTTCGCCCTCTCACACGTAAATAAGATTGATTAATGAACTTTATTCATAGAGGATACTAACCTTTGACCACAGTACTTGACGACAGATAAACTCGTGGTCCTCTTTCAACGTCTCTAGTTAATTAGGGACGGGACAGCCATKACGTGGTCATCCGTGCCACAAGAAGGTCTAAGCATTTGCAGAGTAATTACAAAGGCAGCGCCTTCTCCTCAGTTATTTTAAGACCCTGAGTGTTGGTCCGGCCGAGGCTTGAACGCGTAGATCATTCTATGACTAAGAAAATCCAATTATTTTAAGATCTAGAAATTATTTGCTAATCTTACATTCATCAGACTTATTTTTCTTTAGATTATTTTATAGAGTAATTAACGCAGTTCTATTTTGACAGATAATTCAACGGTCGCCTCTCATCAAAGTACAACCATCGCACCAACAGTGAATCCAACCATCATGCCTACCACAGCTCAAAATAACAGTAAGCAGGCACACACTTCTTGGTATTTGTTGTTTCTTTTATTTATATATTTTTTGTGGTTTTAAAACTTTGCCGTGATTTTCATTTCAAGGCTCGTGCCCTTCATGTGACCAGTCGACAGTCGCTCAAAACCAACAGAAAAGATTCTGTAAAAACGAAAATGGTAAGTAAATAGAAAAGTTGAATGTACAACGGATCGCGTGAAGGGTGGGGTGGGGTCAATACACGCTTTTCGCGGGGAGGGGCAGGGATGGGTGTACGACGTAAGGGAGGCGAATGGTGACAGTTCGGTGAATTGGCAAAGGTTATTCTCTTCCTAATGATACAGCCCCATTGGCCATTCTTACAAGTCATTAAATATTGTACTCCTTACACTTCTCTCTTTCTCCGTCCAGTTTTCCGTGGTCGTGTTASTAAGAGTATCCCCACAGCAACCAACCGCACCCTCTACTACATCACCATGGTAGCATCCTTCAAGACTAACTTCGAAATGCCCGACAAGATTGTTGCTCGACTGTCTGATAACAGCTGTCAGTGTTCGCACTTGACGGTCGATAAAGACTATTTAATCATGGGTCAGGTGAAGCTGAATAAGAAAGGGAAAGGGAGAGTTGTTCTTACGAAGAAAAGTTTCGTYCAAGACTGGAACCCAGATTTTATCCAAAAGATTGACCAATTGAAAGCGAAATGTGGGCTTCCTGTAGTGAATAATAAAAGTGGCCCAAGTACTGAACCAAGTGGAACGCCCTTGGGAAAAACTCCTACACCCAGTAAAGCAGTAAAACCAACTACGGTTGCTAAAGTTACAAGAAACGGTACGATATGCTGGCTTGAACTTCCTGCAGCAGCCAAATTTAGAGAGTTTCCTTATGTTTTATTTCCTTGTTTTTTATTGCAGAAGCGTGTCCACCGTGCCGCGTCTCAGCCAATATTCACGATTTCTGCTCTAATGATTATGGTAAGTTGAAAAAACCGCACAGCTCTTTATCCAAGTCGTGAAAATCGARGTCGACTTCTATTGTGGTTTGGATACCTGTGTGAAAAGAGGGAGCTTAAACTAACATATAGAAATTTTTTCAACGGGGAYGGATTTAGAGGTGGGCCTACGGTCTTGAAGGTGTTGAAGGTTTTCTCTCAGGRCGAAGTTTTTCTGCCCCATCCTTTCTTTAAATCCTTTCATCCGCTCCTGTAAAATACTTCCCTCCCAAAAGAAATTGCGAATATTTCTTTAAGGTTTGCCCTCTCTTTTAAAACGCTCTATGCACTTACTTTTTAGTGTTTCGCGGGCGAGTACTTAAGGGATACCGTACGTCCGCTAACCGGACAGTCTACCATGTCAGTTTAACAACTTCATACAAGAGCTTGGCGAACCTAACTTCAGTTATTCTTGTCCGCATACCTGGAGTGTCATGCCCCTGTCCTCACCTCCAGGTCGGAGTGCAATACGTCTTCATGGGMTGGGTGAGAGTCAAGAGGAAGAGCGTCTCAACAATTGCGCTTAATCCGAAGAATTTTGCGCAAAAGTGGGATGAAGGCTTTGAAGAGGAGCTGTCTTCAATCCGCAGCTCCTGTAAGAAGTCGTTAGTCGTTGACGGTCCCTTGGTGCAGTCGGTATCKGCCAAAAAAGGTAAAGTCGGATAAATTTATAAGTGCGCAGTTTTGGGTATCAATCCTCTTTTATCCCCCTCATTTTTACAAATCATAAGTATAACTTTCTGATTGGTAGAATATCGTGCAATATAAGAGCACACAGCACGCGCGTTTGCGTTTTGAATTTAGATAAATGAAAATCTTGCTGGTTGTTCTATATTCAGT